CAGAAGACCATATTCTAAATAGTATTCAAAGTATTGCTAGAATCTGCTCATACTGATTCACTGACTAATTTAGACTAATCAAATATCCTACTAAGCAGCTCTAAAAGCCCATTATTCCTGATAATTTTACTACTTGCATTCGTAAATCCATGAACAATTACTTCTAAATCTCAGTAAATGCAAAGAAAGAGCAAGTTAATATTCCATATTATTTTCTCATCTAGGAACTCAGCTAGGACACATGTACTAGCTCCCTGTTTCCACAACACAAAATGTGTGTCTTGTTAACAGATTTTGATTCCAAGTCACCAAAACAACCCATTCACAAAACATAGGCATCAATGGCCTAGTTACTTTGCTTACAAGTACTTCCTCTGCAGTAGGGAAATGTAGCTCCCTGGAGAATTTATGTAGAAGTCCCAGAAGTGTTCCCTTTATTGCATCTGCATCCATGTTATTATGTTCTTGCCTTTTGCAGTACCAACAACTAGTTACAATAAGCCAATTTAAATGCTTCACTTTTCTTTCTGAGAAGATGTTCTAATCAATAGACTTCAAACACGCAAGTCAGGCCAGGCTAAACAAAAGAAAAGTGCAGTACATGATATATGAACTTTCAAGACTTTGCTTGCATTTTGTTTTTAAAGTCTGGAAAGGATTCAAGGTAACTGACCTCCAGGTTCTGTAGCATTTTGGTTTTTTCTGCATTCTGCAGATTCCACAGCCTTGTTTTAAAATTTGAGCAGGGAATTGATTTCCACCAGTGTATGTTAGCAATTGACTGAAATCCAATTTCATCAATGAGTAGAAGATGAAAAAGAGACATTTGAGAATCTGTAGAACAGAATGGCTCTAACAGAATCTGTAAATTTTTTCCCTCTAAGTGCTAAAAAGACAAATAGATTTTAAAAAAACTTGTCATGGGTAGCAAAGGCAACACCTTGAAGTTCCATCATCCATTCTACGGCAGGGTAGGTGCTATTCAGATATTCAAAAGTGAAAGATATTACATTCCTATCATCAATATCTCTGGGTCTTTTTTCACCCCAGAACCACTTCTCATTGGACTTCAGATATAGCACAGAAGGGTTTAACAGCACCTTGAGCTTCCTACTCCATCCTGTACTTTGCTGCTAGTAAGGGCAGCCAGAGATCAGCTTCTTCAGTCTGCCCCATCTCTCTGCTTTCTAAAGTACCTATTACCACCTGTGCATGCTCCAGGAGGCACCTTGTTCTCTTCCAAAGCATGCCTGGTCCTGAGAGTAGTCACTTATTATCAACCTGATGATGTGGCAGTTGTCCATGCATTCTGGGTTCCTGTCCCACCTCCCACTACCATATTGTGCTCCTTGCCATTGTGCCGGCGGCTGTGGGCGGATTAGCCACAAGCGTTGGGCCTGTTTGTTGTTCTGGGGAAACCAAGTGCCACCTTCACTGCTCCCTTTCCCCTCATCCACTCCTGAGCTGTAGCTAAGGGATAGGTTCCTGGTCACCACTATTTTTGAGAATGTTCTCCTCATTCCTGAGTTTAAGGATTACAGTGTTGGGAACAAACAGGTTGGCGCACTTTGGCAAGTTCTCCTGCAGGAAGTTAGCCATACCCTTTTTGCTGACTTAGTTTCCGAAGATGAATATTACAGTGGGACCGAAGGGTAGCAGGATGATCAAAGTCCTGGGATACAAATGGGGGAGGCGGCGGAGCCACTTAGTCCGAGCGCAGAAATGGAGCTGGGCCAGGCAGACTCCGCAAACAATGTGGAAATACAGGAAGCCGGAGGGGTTATTGAGACTGGGCAATTTCAAGCAGAGATCAGCCCCTATCCTCAGCTAGCCCCCACAGCCAGGCAGTAGCAGAGGCACAAAGCCCAACTGGTTGAGAAGCATGTCTGAAAAAGGCAAGCTCCCTTCCACAGCACCCCTCCCTGAGGACTGGGTCAAAAGAACTCTCATAAGGTTAGTTTTGGGAAGTAATCGCTAGGTTGGGTTCAACAAACCACTTTGTGCAGGCTCACAGACTTGACTGAATGATTTATGTGTAAAAACAATAATGAGGTTTGCTGAGAACAGCTCAAGGTGGATGCTTGTTGGATGGAGGAAACATGGCTCACGACATATAGAACTCAATGGCTTACATAGATCCAGGAATTTATATATTACATACTTTCCCAAACCTAGCTGGAGTTCTGCCTCATTCTTCTCATAGCCTGAATCATAGCTTTCATCATATTGCAACCCTCATGCCCAAAATCAAATGCCCAGCAGCTACGCTAGTAAAAAATTACTTGAATCTTTGCTACATGCTTCCTTCACTTTTTCAATGCACACAGAGTAGAAACAAGTCTCCTCCAGCAACACCACTGCAATACACACCACAGCACAACCCATCACTCGTCCATCTTAATACTTCCAACACCGTATTTCCAAACATGATTGCTTGAAACATTCACTGAAATCACTAGCACTCATTTCCATTTAAATATGTTCAGGATCAGTTTGGCCATGTGTGAATTCTTAGAAGAGCATGGTTTATTATCTTCACATATTAGGTTTCAATATAGCTGAGTAATCCTGCTGTGGAAACTTCAGCTTCTGAGGTTGCTATGAGTTCAATAACTTTTATATATTAAAAATGACACAACACTAGAGACTGTAAATATTTAAAATGTCATCTAACAGCCGAACATTAACAATAAATTATATTAAAAATGCTAAAATAGAAAGCATCAGTCACTGACAACAAGATTTCAGCTTGCAAACTCAACATTATCACTGTCTCTACATTATCACTGTCTCTACACGTCTGTAGGGGCAAAAGAGGATACAGACATAGCTCCCCCCATCATGCCTTTCTAGGTCTAATATTTGAAGTTTCAAACAATGTCAGGCTAATTATTAAACTAAACTATGCAGCTTGTCAATTCAGAGTGATTCAAAGCTACTAGTGTAATCCTATTCTCAGTTATGTCAGCTAAGCAGGATAGGCCCACTATTAAATTCTACTGCAGAAGGCAGCTATACTATGCCTAGGCAGAGTACACCAACCAAGAGTAAGCAGAAAAACCAGATGGCAATGGAAGCTTCCAATTCCATCTTTGTTTCGAGCTGGTCTCACTGCTAATGACTTCATAATACTATGCCAGGAAAATGGGTGTCATGGTTAAATACATTCCTACTGAAATAGCCCTCATATAACTCATACGAAGTACCATTTCCCTCGCCCATTCCCTCCACAGCCACATGAGGGAACAAAATTCCAGTCACAGCTGCTTAGGGATACACAAGATAATGAACAAAGATCACATATCAAGAAGAAACATGACATGGAGTTCTGCTGCTCTGTCCAAAGAACTGCAGTTATACAAATATACATTTGGAAACTTAGGGCAGACTGCTCCTAAGTTCACCAAAGTTGCCGGTCACTAGAAGAAAGGCTTCACACACACAGCCAGTCAGGCAACCAAAGTAGAAAAGGCAGGTTCATAACACTTCTCTCGTATCATCTCAGATGTCAAACACTTGTCTTGGGCAGCTTTTGGCCAAAGGATTTTTCATGCAAGCCTACCAACCCCCAGCCTATGGAGTGTAACAATCTTGTCTGTAATGACACTACTTCCTTGTCCTATTTAGCCATGGCTCTGTTCCATCAAAGGAGCTTGGGTTGCCAGGGAAGGAAGATGTCCAACTAAGAGAAGCCCCAGACCTTGTGCCTGCAGGCATCATCTGTCGTCATCCTCCTAACCAGCAGCTCACAGAAGACTGTTTGTGAAGATATTGGAGGTTCTTCCAAGAAAACCCTTGTGTCACTTGTGCATGAAGAAGCAAAGGCCAGTACTGTGCCATCATCATGGCATTCCTCCCATTGTCAAATACTGAGGGACACAATAGAACTGCCTGGGTGTGCATCTCAAGGGGTGAGCAACTGGTGGCTTTCCAGATAATTGTAGCCTATGACTCCCATCAGCCTAAGCAGAGCCCAACAAGGATGGTAGAAGTTGGGACTCAGTTCCTCCAGATGTTTAGACATCATTGCCCTCCTTTTGCATATCTTCTTTAGCTTTCCGTTTTGCTGCTAGGAGTGCATTACTATATTATAATTGCACAGGCCCATAAGTAAGATTGGTCTATCCTCCAAAGTTATGGCATGAAGAGCCAGTGTGGCAAAGTGATTAAGTATTTTACTTGGAGGCAGGACATCAAGGTTCTAGTCCCCACTTGGCCATGAAGCTCACTGAGTGACTTTGGGCCAGTCAGACTCTCAGCCTAACCTTCCTCACAAGGTTGTTGTGAGGATAACATTGAGGGCAGGAGGAAGATTATGTAAGCCACCTTGGGTCTGTATGATATAAATAAAAAATAATAGAAACCATAAGTGCCAGGAAAAAATAAGGATGGTTGCACTAATGCTACAAACAATACACCAGAAATTTCACTGTGGCCAAGTCTATTTCATCATGTGGCACATGACATTTATTTAAATTTGCAGAAGTGAATCCTGTGAATACTGTAAAACTGAGTAGTGCAGCCATGCATCTGAATTCAATCACTTCTCCGATTCCACTCCCCCACAAAAAAGATAACTGAATATTACTAAATAGGTTGCAGTGACCAAAAGTCATTCAGTGTGGCCATAATCAAAGCAACCTCCATGTAAAGATAATCTTCACATTACTGCTGATCAGGTCAAAATACTGAGCACGGTCTCAGTTCAGTGTTCAAAGCATGACTAGAGTATTTTGCTGTTCCCTGGCATTCACATGCCTTCTGATCTTTATGATACATGCATCTACCTTAAAACCTGCTAGTCAAAATAAGGAAAAATAAAGTGACTCGAGCAGTAATATACCCCTTAAAATATATGGCAAAAGTCTCATTTTTTTCAGCATTTCACATGATCCTTAGGTCTGAAGAACCAATTACCCAGGAGACAGAAAATCTAAGGTGACCAGAGCCCCACAGCTTTTAGCCCCACACACGAGCCACTTATATAAACAGATGCTTACAGTCCAGGTGTTTTTTCTTGGGGCCCATCACTTCATGTGTGGTTGCTTTGCAGACGGCTCTAGCTACAGCTGATCCTGTAACACTGTACTGAGCAGCTGCGATGCGATCTGTCAGCGTCTGACCCGACATCTTCGACTAATTCTAGGGCTGCTGCCACTTCTACAAGGAATAAAAACAAAACAAAACAAAACAATGGCATGGAGGATTATTATTACTAATAGTAGTACTGGGGCAGGGGGAGAACACTCTTTAAAAATTAACTATCAAAGGCTATTTCTAAATCCTGGTTCTTTCCAAGTTCACTCCTTTCCCCACCCTCTACCCCCACCTCCTCGGTTGTGTAAGTGTTTGCATTGCAACAATATCCAAGAGGTGCTCAGGACAAGTCAGGGTATTTTAGCTCATGGAGTGTGGGGGGAGGGGAGGAAATGAAGATGAATATGCTTCCCCACAAACAAATAATACATGAATTACCAGGAGCGGGGAGGAGAGAAATACTCCTTTCCCTCCTCCTGCCTGTGAACTGCGTCCCCAGATCTGGATGATGGCGGTTGCTGCAATCCACCACCTATCTCATTTGGCTTGTTTATACTAGATTGGGATGGAAAAGAACCCTCCACCGCACCTCCAACCCTGGATCGCCCAGCCTAGGCCTTCTGACAGAGCCTAGGGCAGCTCGGATAATGAATTATATAGCCAGGCTCCAATACGGCCCCATCCCCGCTGCTGACTCCTCTTCCTGATTCTGCTGCAGGAGGGAGTTTTTCTTTCGCCTTCTGCCCTGCGTTTCCACCTCTCTCTCTCTTTCTGGTGGGAGATTATCGTATCATTGCGCCATGCGATGCGCTCCCAGCGCCTATTCCCACTCCCCAGCAAGCTTCTCCTTGGAGACAACAGCAGGCCGCCCGTCTCTATCGCCAAGCCAGCCGCACCCAGGTATCTCACACTCCGGGCACCCCGTACCCACCCAACAGTGCAAATTTGGTCCTTTCCCCTACCGTTTCCAAGCCTCTTTTCTCCTTCTCCTGGCCCTCTGCAATGCAATTCTCTCCCTTTCCAGTGGGGAGGAAATAATACCAAAGGCTGCTGCGTCCAGCTACTCGTTCATATCAGCGTCGTTCTCCCCCCCCCCCCCAATCGCCGGATGCTGAGGCTTGCCAAACGCCCAGAAAGGCCTCCCCAACCCCCCCGTTAAAGCGCCCAAGGCGGCAGCAGGAACAGCAGACCTGTCAGTGCGTCCGCGTCTTACTGGCGACTGCAGCTCCTCTTCCTCTCCCCCTCGCGTTGCTGGCGCTGCCTTCTGCCCGCGAGGAGGCCACCGTCTCTTCGCCTCCTCTGCCCCCTCCCCGTCACCTCTCTCGCCCCCACCCGCCCGCCCGCCCGGCTACCCGCTCGCAGCTGCGCCGAACCCCCCCTCCCCCGGTGGCACCGGCCGCCTTGCTCCAGTGCGCAGGAAGGCGCGCCTAGGGCGCACTCGTGGCTCCCTCAGGTGCAAGGAGGGGTGGCGGTCGGAAGCGGAGATGCGCTAAGGCTGCAGAGGATCTGCGAGAGCTCCCCACGCCCAGGAGCTGCCGCTATTTCTAGCCTAATCCCCGGTCGCCCGCCCGGCAGCCTAATCCCCGCTGCGGCCACAAGCCTTCCCTGCGGTAGCGGGCGAGAGGGACGAGGCTCGTACGCGCGCCACCCCGGACCGCGGCGCGTGCGCACCTCGCTAGCTCGCCTTTCGCTGGCTCTGGCTCGTTCCTCACGGCGGGCGCCTCACAGGTTTGTCGCTCCTTCGGAGTCAGGTGACGCGGAGCAGACGAACCGGACAGCCCTCTAGGGGGCCGTAAGCCTGGAGAAAACCCCCGCACTCTTAAAGGGGACCCCGCTCGGTCAGCCGAGGGATTTCCCACCCTCGGCGCAAGTTGATCGGGGCGCTCACCCACGTGAAGGGCAGATTCCCACGTTGTCGTTATCCAGGTCTGGCCGGTTCCACAGTAGACGCTCCCCTGCCCAATGCTCTCTTCGAGAGAGTTGCTCTCCCCATTTCGGATTTATGGAGCAGATTTCCATTTTTAACATCTTAAATCTTTCCTTACAGTCGGTGAGTATGGAAAACAATCGCCTCCCTTTTATCTGAAATTTCTGAAATGCAAGTCAAAATGTTATGAAATAATCTAGTAAATTCTAACAATAGTATCCCGTGTGCTTGATTCTACTTGCCTCCTCCAGTGTTATACCTGGCTCATGTTCAGCTTCGGTAATACTTCTACAGTTAAATATTGTTAAGCTTTATAATTAAATAGATTAAGAGTTACGATAACGCTGCAATCCTAAACATGCTTTTTTGGAAGACCCATTCAGTTCAATGGGTAATAGTATGTTAATAAACAGTTCCCTTATTGCACATCTTTACATTGTAAGTACCAGTGCACCTAGAAATGTTTTCCTACCACTTAAGTAGTATTTCTAGTATTTAATGCTAGATTTTTTCTTTTTTCAGTCATATTTATAACTTTCATTATAATTTCTGTTGATTATAGAAAAAAGGGTAAGAACAGAAAAATAAAGACATACTTCATCGTCATAAACTGAACCACATTGGAAGCTCATATGTCATGAGTGAAAGAGTGTGATGGGCATGTTGGATAGATGTTGATGCATCTTAGTCATTGTTAATTATACCCGAGCCAGTCAGTCTGGTCTTGTTCAGGAGTTCATGGATTCAGGATTTATAGGATGCGTATTGTTACAGATAGATTTTCGTTACAGGAGATGATTCACTGTAGTTACCACTATGTTTGGCTTTCATTTTAATAAACTCACCAAATGCTGGTCACTCTGATGGGCAGCAGAGTCATGAGAGACAAATCTGCATTTATTTATTTATTTAATGGATTTATATGCTGCTACAATAACCCATATGTGGGATCTCTGCATGGCTCACAATATATCTTACTCATATATTCTGAGTGGAGATGGTCTGCCAAAGTTAGGGTGGGATGGACAGATTTTCACACCATCACAATAAAGTCCCTGAGTGTTACATATGACTTTTTCATTCTCCATAAAAGTGAATGCAGCCATGTCATTTCATTAAAACAAAGCAGAATCAATGGGTGCAGAATCAGTCCTGGCCCTTCTGATACTCATGACTGTACCATCAGAGGTAGAACAATTTAAAATTAAGTTAGAACTATAAGACAGGAATGGGGACAAGTTAAAATCAGGCTTTGACACTAAAATCAGCTATTAAAATAGCTGGAGAAAAGGTATGTCTTTGCATGATGCCGAAATAGTAACAATGATTGTGCCTGGAGAGCCTATTCCAGAGATGGCAACTACCAAAAAGGCCCTTCTTCTAGAAGCCATCCTCTGCACCTCTCTAGGAGATGGCTCCTTGAAAAGGACCTCCTGACTTTATAGGAAAGCAAATAAGCTGGCTACAGTGACAAGCAGAGGTGGAACAATACTTGCTCTCTCTTCACAGTGTCATAGTCACACCTTTCTGTGGTGAAGCAGGAAGGCTGCACTGCACTGTGTTAGAATCATCCATTTCCATGGCTTAGGCACTCTGCTGCTCTTTGGCTTGTTATGAAGCCACAGAGATTTTCACCATCGCCGGTTGGTCCTCATCCAAAACTGGTACAGTTCTTCACCTCCCTACCTATGTGGCAGCAACTCTCCAGCAGTGCCGATCCTGAAGGGAGAGATTTGCTGCATTTATCTATTCTAGGAAAAGCATCTCCCTGAGCCCTAGCAAAGCTTGAAATAGAGTGCTTTCTGCTGCTGTGGGAGGCAGCAGCTTTCCCAAAGCAACAACCGTTTGAAGAGACTCCCTGTTCCCTGCCTGCCAACATGCGTACCAGGACTCCTACATATGCAGCCCTCATTCCAACTGGGAAGTAACGCTATTAATATATTTTTTGTCCAAACATTTTAAAGGTTTTGCTGTAATACCATTGTAGTACACACAGTAGTATTACTCACTGATTTGAGTGAATTTGAAGACTGTGCTCATGGTAACCAAGGAGTCACCATGCACCTTGGATTTTGAATGAACGACTATTCTAGCAATGATTTTTAAAAAAACAGCCATGTTTTATATAAAAACAGCCCTGCTGGATTTAGTCTAGCTTTCTGTTTTCTACAGTGGTCATCAGGATGCCTTTGCGAAGCCCACAAGCAGGATGTGAAGGAAACAGTAACCTTTTCCCATTCCCAGTTGCAGCTGCTACTTAAAAGCCTTCTGCTTCTGGTTGTGCAAGTAAATGGTAACTTCATTGGCTGATACTGGGGTTTCAATACCAGAAAAGAAGCAAACTTCTCATTTTCCACTTGCTTCCCATCAGGATGGAGAAAAGCAAATACTTCTGCACACAGCACATAGTTAAACTGCAGGATTCACTGCCACAGAAAGTGGCAATGGCCACGAATTTGGATAACTTTAGAAGGTATTGGACAAATTCATGGAAGAGAAGGCTATCATTGGCTACTAACCTTGTTGGCTATGTACTACCTCCATTATCAGAGGTGGTATGCAAGTGCAGTGGAGATAAACTTTTAGAGTTCTTTATCAATTTTTCCATCCTGAATAACTTGGTGTCAACAGCAAACCTGGCCAACTTGATCCTTAGAAGGACCTAGTTATCTCATGAACCTGTTGACTTAGGTAACTGATTTTGTCAAAAGTCCAAGTACACAAATGTATACCAGATGACTCCTTGGCATGCTAAAACATTCTAAAAGGTCAGCAGCACATGACTTACTTACCTTTGTAGAAGATGCATTGATTCTTCAGCAAGATTTTTCTTTCATACGCTTTGATAATGTTATCATTAGCAACTCTTTTCACCCATTTATGCAGAACAAATATTGATCTGTCTGCCTTTTTTCCTCTTGTGAGGAACCCGAGGTGGCTTACATAGCTCCATTTCATCTGGAGAACAACAACCTGTGAGGTAGGTTGGACTGAGAGCCTGTGACTGCCCAAAGTCACCCAGCGAGCTTCAGAGTTGAATGGGAACTAGAAGCCAGGTCAGCAGTCTAACACTTTTGTCAGCACATCACACTAGCTATCTGTAAGGACTAGGTGTAGACATTGAAGGTGATGTGCTTTAAACACATGGGCGAGCATGTTCATGTTGCTGCTATTACAAGTTCATAAGAGGCTGAGCAAAATACAGAAAAAGTACTGGAGGTAACTTTAGCCATAGTATTTTTGTAAAATTATTTGTGCATGGCCTCTTGAAGAAATTGAAATGTGGTGTATCCCCACTTTACTGTGAGATTCCTTTGTTTTTCCAGTGACAGGAGAACTAGTCCCCCCCCCCCCCCGCTAACCAGCTAGTGCTTGCCTCAGAGGTGTGGCACCTGGGTGCTTCAGCTGGTATAATGGGGTGAGCATGGAAGAATGGACAACAGTAACATCCGAGCATCTAAATAACCTGTAACAGTAATATCAGTGACAGTAACTTCTATACTGTGCATTGCTACCTCAGAGCCATTTGAAGTAGACAGCTGGGGCAGCATCTGGGAGCTGGAGCTGGGGACCCTGTTTTCAATTTTTGACGTACCTTAATGAAAATATCGCACAACAATTATGTTTATTTTTGTCAGAAACAGCAATTTCAATATTTTAGGCATTTCCTGACCACATGAAATAAACCTTTCAGCAGAAAACATATGCTTCTGAGGGATATATGCTAAATTAGGGCACCTCTTACCAATCCTTTCCTTTACAATTCTTTTATATATGTATTTATTTACTCAACTGCTACGCTAGCCAGGAAGACAAATCTGTATGAATCCATGTGTTGAGGACATATTAAAATGCTCCAACTCATTGCAGTTGCTTTACACCCGTCTTATATTGTGGTCTCAGGTGAAATCTGACTTCATCTTTAAAATGCAAAGAAATATGAATGGAAACAGCTCAGTAAGGACAGTCATTTGCAAGTGCATGTGCTGCAAAAGTAGTCAAAGCCTTCAGTATTCACTTCACCAGTTGGAGGAAGAGACAGGCAATGGCTTAATTGCAATTTTCTGTTAAGA